GGGGGGGGGCATGCGCGCGCACACACCTCGCAGCCTACTATGTTACCCCATACTTCTTCTCAGGACTGCAGAGGTCAGCAGAGCCAATTACCGGCACACAGCGTCTCCTCCGATAATACTTTATAATAAACACGTATTGCACACAAAGTTGTTACGTCACATACAAGATGCGTTTATAATAAAACATTATTGAAGAAGGCGCTGCGTGCCGGTAATTGCTTCTGCTGACTATCGCAGTCTGGAGTTTATAGTTCCCCTTTAAATGGCACTTAAAATTCCCTCATCCCTTTTCTACTAGCTCCCCCTCCCCCTTTTCTACTAGCTCCCCCTCCCCCAACACTTCCTTACATTATCATATACTTAAACCTCAATGATTCTGCCCGGAGGTTTTTACTGCCCAGGACCACACAGTCTCTGGCTGAAATCTCCAGTAATTCCCCATTTCAGTGGAAGGACCAGGTCTCCGTCTGTCTGCAGACTTCCCATTATAGTGAATGGAGACCGCGGCGTGCATGCACCAGCACAGAGCAGAGTGTGTACAGTGCCGCACAGAGAGGGGTAACAGTGTTGTCGGTGTTCAGTGTCCTGTACATAGCCATTCAGATCTGTCAGTGATTGGAACATCCGATCTGATTTCCTATGATTATCTTAGACTGAAGAGCTTGCAATCATGTAGAATGAGAGCAGTGTGCACCTCCTCAGCACCATGTGCCCTGTCCTCATCCATCTCGCCCCGGTGACACAATAAAAGGGCGAGCTGTCACTCCGGGGCAGAAAGCCTCAGCTGTCACCTTGCGTGTAAACAGTGACGTGATGTCGGGGGACCCCCGCAGTGGACGGGCCCTTCCTGTGGGGTTAGTTTGGTTTATTTAGATAACAAAGAAACAAACATCCTCGCCACGATGAAGGATGGAGTCGCCCCCAATCATTTATTTGCTCAGCTTTGTGTGGGCGCTGGGACCCGATCGGCCCGGCCTCTGTACACGCTGTGTAAATAACACGCAGTGAGTGCTGTGCCCTCGGGCCGGAGTCACACAGAGGAGGCCGGGTGTGCAAGAAGTGTGCCGTGTCTGCCTGTTGTTAGAAGTCATCCTATTAAATAAACATAAAGCCTAAGTGGATGACATTTCCTTTTATCCGTTTCATTAACAATTTGCCTTTTATCAATTTAAATACTGTAATTCCCTTTTTTTTTTCCATTGCATCTTCGTGCTGGGGGTCTCCTTCAGCCTCATCCAGTCTATATGCATTCCCGTGATGGCTGCACGGCCTGTCTCAGGGCGGGATTCTTGATGGTGACAACAGTGGACCATGTCCGTGTAATGTGGTCACTTGTAGTCTCCATTAGAAGCCCATATGACCGGGTGACAACGCAGGAGCACACTTGGGAGACAGGTACACAGCATTGTCACCCTACCACAGTAAGTGCCTGAACAAGTCGGACCTTCATGGCAAGACCACCGGGGATCATTTTATTGAAAGCTGCAGATTTTAGGATAATGGGGGAAATGCACAAAAAAACTGGAGCAGACAGAATCTGGAGCAGTTGCCCATCAGCTTCTCGCCTTAGTTTTCCAAATTGTGAACAAACTGAAGCTGATTGGTCGCCATGGGCAACTGCTCCAGATTCTAGGGATGCACCGACATTAGTATCAGTGCTGATACCTAGTGTTTGTGCGAGTACTAATAGACCCCTGATATCTGCATAAAGAGGACCTGTCACCTGCAATATGCTGTCACATAGGAGCTTGTCAGCTGCTTTGTTGTTGTAAAAAAAAAATAAAGGTTAACTAAAATTCACTAAAAAGAAACAAAAATGTAGGTGAGTATGTGAAGGGGAGGAATAGTTCTAAAGGTTAACAATGATGACTTCTAAAAGGTTTTTAAAGTGTTGTATATGGTTAACCCCTATGGATGTCATTGTCTGTTTTTGTGCAGTTTCACGGCCTGATTTGGTGCTGTTTTTGGTGTATATTTTACTGAAAATAAAGGTTTGAAGTTTCATCAATATTGTGCAACATAAAATGTGTCTGCTTCCTGAAAATATATAAAGCTGAACTCCGGGGAAATGTTCAGCTTCCGAATTACCGAATGCCCCTCCGAAATCTGCCCCTCCGGTGGGGTTACTACCGCAATGCAAGAGCTAAAAGAGAACTATGTGGTCAGCTCCCCCCCCCCCCCAATAATTCTCCTCGGGGTCACAGGAAGACATACACTAACTTCCTCCCGTGATCCAAAGCTCAGTATATTGCGAGCTATTGCCCACTATATGCTGAGAGTGCCGCAGCCGGGATGGATCCCAACAATACTCTCTGCAGGGAGAAGATCGGGAAGTGACCGAGCGTCGGTATGTTGTCGCTCACTTCCTGATCTCTAGAGTTGGCCCGTGACAGTTTCAATGACACACGTCGGCTCTCGTTATGGGGATGAGTGTAATTCACTCACCTCATAGTTATTCTTTCAATGCTCATTTTTGTCTAGGATACCATTACAAAGCAATTTTCCTTTCCCTCATCCCTTGCTTGTGCAGGCTCCGCCCCTATCTGTGCAACCACATCCCTGGAGTCATTTCTCCTTGGTGCTCTGCCTACAGGCCCCACTCTGTATGCGATGACACCAATGTGGGTCCAGGAATCCTCCATTGTAAGTGAGGACACTGAGGGCCCATTCACAAGCCAGGTTGCGGGGTGTCAGGGGGCAGAGTAGTGTTCTCCTAGCAAAATCGAGCATTTAACCCTTTCGGGGGTGGGGGGGGGAGAGAGAGCCTCTACAAGGGTGGGTTTTAGGCAAGTAATGCCCATATTAACAGGCAACTTTTTTGGTATGTTTTTATGGGGTGGACATCTAAAATTAAATGGGCTAACTAAAATTTATATAGTGTCTTGCGAAAGTATTTGGTATACTTTTGCAAGGCACACTATATATTTAAGCAGTTACCCCATGGTGCTGGTGTAGTCCCCATTCATCAATCGCTGTTCATGGTGACCAACGTGATTGTTACCCTAACTAGGTGTTCTATAGGGCGCTGTTCTGGGGTTATTACATCACAGATGACATTTACTTGCCGGGTAATGTATCCGCATACAGACATGTGTTGGTTTTCATTGACTGCATGTTGGATGTAAATGACAATACATCGCTGTGCGTACTGAAGGAGTGTATTCATAGTTTAGCCGTCTATGGGGACACGGATGTACGCCGTGCCTGGCTGACACTGATTGTTCTCTCTCTCTCTCTCTTTCAGGTGCTCTGCTATTAGGTGCCATCCTCTACTCCTGGCAGTTCCCTCACTTCAATGCCCTGAGCTGGAACCTGCGAGAAGATTATTCCCGGGGAGGTTACCGAATGATGTCCGTCACCCACCCAGACATGTGCCGACGGGTGGCCTTACGGCACTGCCTAGCTCTCATAGGACTGTCTACCTTAGCCCCAGTCTTGGATGTAACCACATGGAACTTCCCCATCATCTCCCTGCCACTCAACTTGTATATTTCTTACCTGGGTTACCGCTTCTACCGAGATGCCGACCGCAACAGCTCCCGGAAACTCTTCTTCTGTAGCTTGTGGCATCTGCCCACGCTGCTTCTGCTTATGTTAACCTGCAAAAAGTCTGTGGTAGGAAAGAAAGATAAGGACCGAGATCTCAGTTAAATGGGAGACAGAAAGGACATGAAAACTGTGGGGGTCATAACGGATCCCGATCGTCTAATACTGTATATGGACAGCGGAGAGTCTGGTGTGATGGCCAGACTTGTCCGATCTTGGCAGAGGAACTGCTACCTCCAGGCCACACGAATGGCCGGCCACGTGAAAGTAATCAGAACGGCAACGCTCTCCAAGGAGTAAACAGAACCGTATTTCAGGAACACATGGCAAGCCTCAATCTGCTGCTTCTCTGTCTACTTTTCCAATAAACAAAGTAAATTGATGATGACAAGGCCACACTCATTCACTGAACCAACCTGGCTGCAGACGATGAAATGATGCCGACGCACGCAGATGTATCACCTGAGTGACAGAATTATGTCTGCGTCATCACATCGCTTCCCACAAACCCGTATTATACAATCAGGTCTATGCAGCGTTACACACCAGATGTCATTTTTCTTGTACCAGATACAATTTGATTGGCTGCTACTATAATAATAAGTTAATATTTGTGCAAGGTTTGCATCTAGACTGCTTTGGGGCAATGCATTAAAACCGTGTGATGTGCTTGCAGCGCCATTACTTGTTAATGGCCCCCTAAAACGTGGTCGCCAAAACATGCATTTTTGTCTGCACATTGGGCATGTAGTCAAAACACATTGCACGCCGGCAGCAGAATTTGCTGCATGAGCTTGTTTTCTGCGATTGAATGAATTAATTGGGTGACATGCAGCAAAAGATGTGCGCAAACATGACGCTTGTTCACTAAACGCCAAGGTGTGAACGGGGGCCTTAGTATTCATACATACGGGTATAAACCAAAAATGCTTGTGAAAGTAAGTCATAGGCCTTGAAATCCCTCCAATGCTCTGTCTTCAGGCCGGGAACACCACAGATAACGCTGAATAAACTCCGAATAGGCATTTTCTGAGCATTTATTCAGCGTTCTCAGTGACTTACATTATAAGTGCCAACACAGCCATGAGCCCAACAAACATTGCAGTGGACGGTTTCAGCTGGCGCTCTTGTAACCATTCATGTGTACGCACACAGGGACCCTTTACAGCAGTGGTTCTCAACTCATGGGTCGCGACCCAAAAGTGGGTCGCGAGCCCTTCTGCAGTGGGTCGCGGCGCCATCACGGCAATCACGGGTCGCGGCGCAATATTACAGGATATTTGCTAAATCTCAGAAAATGCTGAAAACTTCCAGCGATATGTGTGCGCTCCTCGTCTATGGAAACTTCCAGCGATATGTGTGCGCTCCTCGTCTATGGAAACTTCCAGCGATATGTGTGCGCTCCTCGTCTATGGAAACTTCCAGCGATATGTGTGCGCTCCGCGTCTATGGAAACTTCCAGGTTCACAAGTTCCTCTGCAATAAGAAAACCAGCCGAGCCCGGAGATTGTGTTATCTCCATCTCTGTGTATCTAAGGAATTGCTCATTTTGTTAAGGCATGAGGATGTTATGGAAACAAAATACATGGATTGTGTGGAAGTGCGCACAATGTTATTGAGAGACAGTAGATCTATCGTAGAGCTGCCTTAGGTGGTTGGAGGATGTTTTGCACAGACACAAGAAACTGTAAATTTGCCTAAAGTGGAACTCTGGGAAAAATTGTTTAAAATGATATATAATAGTGTATAATATATGATAGTCTGTCCCCCTGTAACATAGTTTAGTTGATCCTGACAGTTAGGCCTCATTCACGTGAGAAAAGTCCGGCATGTATAGCTCCGTGCTGCGTGCACAGCCGTATCAGGCAGCTCCCGGGAAGGACAGGTGCTGCATGTGATTAGTACACAACCCCTGTACGCCGCCCTACGCTCACCCCAAGTGCAGGTCCATACAGGTTCGGGTGTCCCGGCTCGGACGCAGACAGGATCCATCCTGTCAGAGTACGGAGGTGCAGGGCGGGTGAGCGTAAGGCCGCGTACTCCCATAGAGAATGACAGGGGCTGCGTATTAATTACACGCAGCTAGGGCTGCAGCTAACGATTATTTTCATAATCGATTAGTTAGCCGATTATTAAGTTCGATTAAGCAGCTGTACGCGCCGGCCTTTTCTCGTGTGAATGAGGCCTAAGGGTGGCCACACATCCCCGATTCCCCCTCCATACTGAACTGCATGGATAGTGAAACGTCGTCCCCTCCGCCAGACTATTGTTTTCTTTCAGAATACCCAAACTCCAGATCGGCTCCAGTCACTGTTTGACTGAGAAATTTTAGTTCGACTCCTTCGACAAAAGTCGATTGGAACATAAACTTTTGTCAATGGAGGGGTGCTGACTGGGCGAAAACACTGCTCAAATTTTGGCCCCGGTAGCAGAACTTGGCTGAAACTCGACCAGTCTATGGCCAGCTTTAGTCAGCTATTTAACTTCCCCTAACAGACCAAGCTCTCCAGTAGGGGCTCCTTCAGACGGGTGCATATGTCCTTATGGTGTGCACGTCCATAAGAAGACCAAATCCCCGAAGGGACAGGTGCTGCATGTAATTGCGCCCAGCAGTCTGTCTGCGTCCAAGTGTGGACACCCAGACCCGCAGGGATGTGCAGGTTCGGGTCTGTGTGTGACGGCGTGTGATTGCGTGTAGCCTCGTCCTCCCATAGGGAATTGCTAAATGACACGCAGCACCTTTCCCCTCCGGGATCGGGTCCTTTTATGGGCATGCACGCTCTATGGACGTGTACCCCTGGCCGAGTGAGCCCTAAAAGTGGCAGTTCAGACAAACCATTCACCCCGACAGGGGCGCTCACATTGTTCACCTTTTATTCATAGAAGTAAAACCTTCATCCTGAAAGAAAAAATAAATCTAATGCTGTAACTGCTTAAAAGGTGTTATCTGGCCTTAGATGTTTATTTGTTAGTCACTAAGTGACTTGCACCACCCTTGCACTACTGCTGTGCAAGGGTGGCTACGTGGCTCCTCCATAGATACAGTATTATGAGTAAGTGTAGCCACCCTAACACAGGAAGTGTGCTACCAGGGGGAGAAAAAGCCTACACAATGAAAACAAATGCAGACCCCACATTTAAGGACTGGCAAGCTGCAATATATTACACTTGTGTTTGTTTAGAAGCACTTTATATCATAATCTCCTACACACTGACATATTAGATTTGGGTAGACTGACCTGTACGGGGCTGGCCGTCCTTTAGACGCATCTTGCTTTACGAGGCTCATTGTCCGAGCTCTGAGGTCCATCACCACCAAGAGATTGTAACTGACTTCTTGCACTGAATCCGCAGGAAAGGGAAGAGAATGTTTTCTTGTTTCATGTGTTGTGTTCTTCTATTTATTGTTAGGATTTTATTTCCTGCCAAAGATGTACAAGACAAAAACATTGTATTTATTTAATCAATCACACAGCCCGAGCCAAGGACGGGAGCATTGTGTCACACTGAACATAGGTAATGAGAGACACAATAATGTACAGCAGATTGGTTTGGGGGGGAACCTTACTCATTAACGCGTCTGAAATAAGAACTTTCTGCGCCTCCAGCAATATAACATTAGGAATGTCCGGCAGCTATGTACAGAGACTGTTCTTATTTCTGACAAATCACTAAATAAAGTTTGTTGCTATTTCAGTCTATCAAAGTCGACTTATTATACGGAAGCGTTTTCAGAATGCGAGCCATCCGCCATCACCAACGGCAACAGACTCCTTTCACTTTGTTGTAACGTGTGTGTGATTTGCCGTTATAGTCAACACCGCCGAAAATACAG